GTTTATTTTCGGGATAACTTGGCGTAAGGTGTCAACGATTTATTTGCCCGTTACCAGGGTTAGTACAATAGAATACTAAGCGTTTCCAGACCGGTGATAGAGGGACTGCGGTGTACCAAAGGGTATCTCGTCTTCTGGTAACCACAACCATTTATTACATGGCTTCAAATGATCAGCTAACAAATACAAGAGGGCAAAGAACAGAGGAAACAAAACATTATCTCACTTACTATTGTTTCCAACCCCAAGCTGTGAACTACTTAACATAACAATATACTCTCAATTAGACTAAACAATAGATCTTTAAAGTCTATGACATCATGCGTTGTCTTGAATAATTATAGTCACTGCAATGGGATAAACAGGAAATCCCTACTTGACCAGATTCTATGGTCCATTTCTGGCAATGCTGTATGATAGACTATACAGACAAATTCAGAGTGGGTTCGAGATAGCGTGATTGTCATAATTATGACATCATATTAAACATTTACGTGGTCGAAACACATTGACATCCCAAGCCCAAATTATTACGCAGATCAAGCTGCGAGGTGAGGGAACAGAGGTGTGAATTCACCATTCAACACCAATCACCGAACAATTCAGAAACTTTCAGCCTGCGAAAATGAAAACAATTAGCAGTGTGTAAGTGCTGCGTAATTTCCTGTTTTTCCGACGCTTCGTATTCGCGACACTATCAAAAATATTGCTACTTCTTACATAAGCTAAATGGTCTCTATGAAGCGATATTCATGATCGCAAAAAAGTCAAACCATATACTTACCCGACTCCGTCGAACGTCTCTCACTCTCTTCCGAAATCCGCCTCGGTAAACATGGGCTGGTACGGAATCTATTTCTTAAACAAAACACTCTCTAAACACATGGACACAAAACGGAAAACAAAATACGACCGAAAAATGTATATCGTTCAAAAGTATGTTGAATGACGCAGTGTTATAAAAGTACATACAAAAGTATGGCTTCCTCTCGAATTTTTACGTTTGGTGGCGCACTTTACTTCGGCGAGAGTCGGAAATCCGGAAACAGCTGATCGTTTCAGGATAGGTGGCCGTGGCTACAGTACTAGAAATATCCCAAATTTACTTGGATACAAGTAATCATATTCAACAACAAAAATCAATGACTGTCCATTTCAGTGGGACACAGTTTTAAAATGGGGAACGTGTGGGTGGGCATTTCACAGGCACTTTAATATGTTGCAGTGAGTACGGTTTCTCGCGTGGGGCCTTGTTACGCATCGTATGTTAGTCTATGCGAGTTCATCTCTTTTATGTCAAGAGGTCTATATATATATATTTGTATTAAATCTGAAATAATTCATACAAAGCGAATGGGAATGCCAAACAGTGATTCGTATAACTTAAACTATATAGATCACACTTATTGTGGGTTCTTTTCACGGGCCATCAAGGCATTGGAAATCATTAAGATGGTTATCGTTACAAGACGACAATGATCTCAGGCCAATAACAATTGGACGTCTAAGAACCATAGAGAATTTATAAATAAGAGAACGAACACATTCATCATACACGCACAGCACTAAATGACACCAAATTTGAATTAACTGCAACTTTAATACAAACAAAAGTTTGACAATAAATACACAAATAGTTTCACAAAATCGGCTAATTAAATATTACTGCATTGCCTAAATATTTTAGACGGTTCCGATAAACGTAACCGCGGTCGAAATATGCAGGTAAGGCACGGGGAAACTTAAACCTGGCTGTTTGTGCGTGTAAGGCAGATGTACTTTACCGGACGTGACGTTGTCGAACTGAAGCAACAAACGTGGCGACAAACTTCAGACGGCTTGGTTTTCAGGGGTGGCTCACATCACGAAAACGCTGTACAGTAACACAGCTGACACCAGGACGACCAGAGAGTAAATTCTCAATCCGGAGTTCAATGGTGACGTTATCTGTGTTATACCGAACTTCTGGTGGATCGTCCAACATGCCAACAAAGGCGAGATTTCTGGTTCAATTTATTGGGGAA